AGTTTGAATTCTGCGAGCGGCAACTGTAACAGTGATCTCTCAGAACAAAGAATTATTTATTTCACATATAAATGAAATATTCAAATTTCTTTGTTGAAATCTAAAATCGATTCTTTCAATTTTAAACTTAATCATTGGATTAGACCGAGACTAAAAAAAAAAAAAAGATCTGCTAATCTACATAACCGCATACGGTTTGAATTAATTATAATAGTAAAAACAATTTCGATTTTCATGGTAAGTAAAATAACAAAGTCACCCAAGCTAATAAGTCTTACCTTAGATTAATAAAAGCATTTGCTTTGCAAATAATAAGAAAGCGCTGCACTTATCTAAATAGGTGGGGAAAAAGTGAGCTTTTTTTGTTAGTCAGTTTTGTTTCAGAATTAATTTTTTTCGTGCTTATCACTAAAGTTTAGCAGGCTAAGATTTAGTAGACTCAGCGTAAGATTCGACGTCCATCTAGTTATGGTTTTCTGTTACCCTGGTAAGCTAAGGTTTAGTAGACTTAGTGTAATATTTGAAGTCCATCTAGTTATGGTTTTCTGTTACCTTTCGAGGAAATCTTACGATTTCACAAAACCAAATAAGAAATGAGACTTTTCATCAGAACATCTAAAAACATGTCTACAATAGACTCTAAAAAATACAAAATTAACTTTAACTCTGGAGCCGTTTAAAAATTTAGGATCAGTACGACATTGATTGGCCTGCTTACGGATGGAAAATTTTGAAGTTTAAATACTGGGACGTCAAGGATGAAACTGTTTATTATAGCACTTAATCTATTATCTACAAATTTTATATCTGACGACCCAATTGTCCACATGAGTAGCTAAGTAGAAAAGAATCGCGGATTCAGATCTCAATGCGGTAGAGTTTGCTTTGGTCGTAGTTATAGTGAGTGCTCGGGGCGGTAAAGCCATAACACTTATCAATTGGTCACAGACCCTCCCTTTCTCTTTCTTCATTTCTTTCCGACATTCACCGTGTCATACGAATAGGGAATATCCGTTGAGTAATTGGTCCCTATTGGAAAAAAAAGAGCCGTTCTTTATTATGACCAAGTAAACGCGTCCATCAGAGGGAAGCTTAGTTGAAAGTTCTAGGTCCACAAACCGAAATTTTTTAACGAAGCCTTTATGATGATGAACTTTTGCGAATCTTAAAAAATTAGTTTTTTGAGCTCTCCGATTTATTCATTATAAATACAATCATTGTACGTCATCCGACAATAGGTGAAAACAAAAAGGTGAAAAAAAATTGCATTTAATTGCTATTAAGCGAGTTTTTCTTAGAATGTTGTACAAATTATTGAGTTATTAATTAGAAATCTTTATTAGGCTTTGATTTCATATTATTATTATTGTTATCGTTATAATTTACTTAGATCAATAAAATTAACTCTAGGACTATAGAAATAATATAAATTTTAATAATTCTTGTATTATCTAAATAATCGTTTTAAAGATACTTAATGTTCTTGATATTGCTTTTAGTAGCCTTGGAAATGTACACCATCTTCCTGCCTTCGGACGGCTATGATTAATAGCTCATTTCGTAAAACCTCAAAACCATAAGACGATATAATAAATGATAATCATTTAATGATTTGATTACTGATTTCCTTTTTTTTAGCTTTTTAAGCTTTGTTGAACAGTGAAAACTGTTCATTTTTGTTCTCTAGCTCACCGTCAAAAGGGAAAATCGTAGTGATCCAGTAATTTGTATTTAATAATTGCTCGAATGGATTGATTGAATTTTCTTAGGGCACAACTTTGCTTATAATGCCTTAAACTACTTACTAGTCTATCAACTACTTGAGAGTTCGAACTCTTAAGTCATATCTCCATACAAATGGAAAAATTACTTTATATTTGAGTATAATTAATAATTAATAATAATCTGGAGAAGAGAATTTTAATAAAATCACAATAAGCAATGCTTGGAAAAATTGATATAAATATAAATAAATAAATACTCTGCAAACTAAAGAAAAAACAGGAAAAAACTGAATGCTAGGCCTCGGTCCACCATTAAATAGACTAGAACTAGAAAAATTTATATTCTTTTAAAGAAAGGACAATGAAAAACTTTAGGGTAGGCCACGGTCCGTTATTAAATACCCTGTACTTCGCTTAATTAAGTTAACTCTTATAGTAATGGCTTTCCAAAATAAGATCTTATTTGTGGAATGAACTTGCACAAGACGGACAGAGGACCAAACAAGCTGAAATTAATTCAAAAAGTAATTCCGAGTCGGTCGATATAATAAAAGCTGGATCCATTTCAAACCCTTCGTGCGGATACAGAGTATAATAATAGAGGAACGGCGACATTTTAATGAATTCTAGTCCTCACGCCTCCATCCCAATCGTAAATTCAGATTCGAGGAGACTACCGCAAATCAAAAGAGCTTCACAAACGTATTTAATTCGGTGAGATGTTAAATCTTACGACCAAAGTAGTAGTAAGCAAAAAAAGTTTATTCGAATTGAAAGTAATCGTGCATTACTTTAACCCCTTGCTATTAACTGTGAACATCTTGTCGTATATGGTCACAATAAATTTTGATCTCTCGGAAAACTCTGGTCTTTATCTTTCTCGACATTATATGGAATTTTAGAAATTTTTTACTCAGCTCTTCAGATTTTACAAGCGAAATGGCGATATTAATACATTGTGTTCTACCGGTTGTGCTATAAAAATGTGAAATAATGATAACGTTTTGCGATATAATAAAATGAAGAATTTCTCGTTCAAGGTTTTGCTACACGTAAATTATATAATTTCAGTTATTACTACTTATGTAAATATGTTAAATATAATATATAAAAGAGTTAGTTAGTTAGTTAATTGACCATAAATATATATATGGAAAATAACCGAACATCAGAATAATGAAACATACCCGTCAATAATTTGCGGTACTGACGAATGGATATCGTCTCTGACAAAATAGAAGGTAAAGACATTCTATTAACTATTTTGCATGAAAATTTGGATATGAAGGAAGTGTTTTTTCATTGGCTGCCGACTGTACTTATATTGGAAAAAAACATCAACGCGTGAGTGATGATAAAATTAAATGATTTCAAGCTCGACATGCTGCTATATCTGCCGTATTCTGCAAGTCTGGCATTCAGCGACTATTACCCCTTTACTGAAGAGTTCAGAAAGGTGTGCCAAGGAAAAGTACTTGAGCCAAATAATGGGGCTATTATGCAAATTGAAGTTTATTTTGATAGGGTCAGAGGTATATCTTGATACTATATAAAAAAAGCTTTAGGATATTAGGCAATCTTTTACTTTATTGTCTCACTCTTGGCGACATCATGTCGATGAAAAAATTCGAATTTTGCTAAAAAAAAAAAATAAAATGTTTTCTACTTTTCTAGTCCCGAGAGTTATTGACCGATGTACTAAATTGCTAATGTATTACGCTACAATTATTTAAAACAAAATTCTTATTATTCAAGCATTCAAAAACAATTAAGAACTGTTCGCGTCATCATACGTAACCATATACTTGACCAGTGCACCATTGGCCGTTTACCTCAAAAATTGAACAAATAAAAAATGTTTAAGATGAACAGTTATGGGCGTATTAGTGGTAACTCTGTCCGATGGTGCTAGATGGATGGGAATTAGCGGAGATCATCTCTGATCGAACATACAAGTCATTCTGATGAATATCTGGGTAATAGTTTTTCGGAAACGCCTTCCACGAGATCGAATGTTGTGGGCATAAATGCAAAAAAAAATTTCAAGGCTGTTACAATTTCTTCTACTTTGTGAACCTCAGACCACACCTGCTTTCCACAATAGCATTCCTAATCGATCAAAAAATGGTTATGCTGGATGTCATTTTCCTATCTTCTTTTTGGCGATCAAAAAACTATAGGTCAAATGGATCTATTTTGGTAAAAATGGGTATAAGGCATAGGTATCTCAGAAAATAATTAATTATATGTATTCCAAAGCCTTTTCATACATTAAAATTTATCAAAAACTTTTGGAACTTTATATGCGTTTTAAGCACTTTCTTGAATCCCAATAGTTGAAAAAATGCGAAGCGCATCACGCGGTAGTTCAGGTGTTAAGGGGCTGCAGCCTAAGTAAATTGCTCCTTTGCCTGTTGCAATAATTTCTATGGTGTCTAGAAACGCGTATTTATCATTTGTAAAGGTTACCAACGCAGCGAAAATTTTATTATTAGGTATAAAAACAGACGCAAGAAATTCTTTATAAATTTTTCAAGAATACATACTGAAATTTAGAATGAGAGCATATCTATAGTTATACTCTTTTTAGACGTACATGAAACTGGAAAACTGTACATTTTATTGTACTTACTTACTATACATTATATACTATATATCTATATACATATATATACATATAAATGTGAATATGTAAATATTATCAACCTCAAGCCGGTTAATTTCAAAAAACCATATAAATTTTCTTTTTCTCTTGAACTTTTTTGGTAATCAAAACCGTACATGGTTTTGTGTATGTATAACAATATAAAATCTAATGCGGTAGGTTTTTTTAACTTGCTCAGTGTGTTTAATTTGTCTTATACGCACACATATAAGCTTCTATATATATATATATATATATATATATAACGCAAGAACGTATAAAAATCATGCCCAAAATAATTTTGCGTAAGGTTAAGGTGTGTACACAGATTATTCGTATCGTATTTTGGTGTTTTTGAAATGCGTGCGCAGTTTCAGTCAAAATGATTTGATGAAATGAAAAATTCCGAACAATTTCATAAGAAGAAGATATACATACTTTATAAGATAAATCGCCTGCGATAAAAATTATCGAAATAAACGTGCAGAAATAAGAAAAAAATTTCCTGCAAATTTTTTCTTAATGACTTCTATTTAAACAGGTGTAGATTACGCCGTATCAAACATGTAAAGATATTTATTAATAATTAAAATAAAATGAATTAAATTAAATAATATTTTCTTAACTTGAAGATAATTGCGTTAAAAAGTTTAATGGAAACTTTACAGAGTACAGTGATAGAAACTGTACTCGCCTTGTGTACGCTGAATTATGTAAGAACCCGATTTATCCCATTTACGCTTCTTATTCGAACTTTTTTCAAGATTTTGTGTTAAAAAAAGAAAAAGGATTTCCGATATCTCCCTAGAAACTTATATTTTTACAGGTTCCGTAATGTCGGTCCATTTAACGTCCGACGTACAAGGCCAAATTTTCAATATATTTTTATGAAACTCGTTACTCAACGGCTAATTCATGTGAAAATGAATTTGATCGGAACATTTGTATGTGTATTCCTCACATAAAGTTCTACTTTGGCAAAGTCGTTATATGAAAAACAATTTCCGTTGGTAATATTTCTCCGCAAAAATTCGACGTGAAATAATGTTTTGAAAAATAAACTCAATATGTAAACTTTTGAATAGGATGAGACCATTCATAAACCTTCTTATAGCAATAATGCCATATGAACGCCAATGAAAGCTGACACCGAATAATAGTATGATATACTGTGCGATATGGCGCCTTGGGATTACAAAACTCGAAATCTTTCCCATGTTAATGTTCTTATGCTTTACGTAATATGTTTTATGCGACTTATAGCATTCTTATATAATATTCTTATGTTTCGACCGAACATTGATCATAAGAGGAAACATTATGTTTTTTCTCTCCATAGCTTTTGTGACTTTGTTTGTATAATTTATGCATAACTTGCTCTATATATATCTTCCTTAAAACCTATTCCCAATTGTTTGCCGAGAAAAGTTTGATTAGTTCCTTCCAAGTTTTGCTATTTCAAGGTGATGTAATAATTTTAATTTGTAACAATATCTTTAACGTAACGAATTGATCACTTATTGATAAGACATCAAGCAATCAACAAGTTTGAATTATCCTCTAACTGTACGGTGAAAGCTTTATTGCACGACAATTTTACACCCTCTAATGCAATTCGTGCATTAAGCAAACGCTTTCACTTGCTTACAAAAGATTACAAATAATTTATTGATTATGTACTTGGAAAAAATCGAAATTCCTTGACTTCTAAGAAAAAGCAAATATATACTAAAAATTTATAAATAAATGCTTAGTCAATGCGATTTTCTAGTTGCAGGTCCGATAACGTATAACAACAATTTATGATAAAAGTTTCGAAATAATTCAATCTATTATTATAAAGTTGCGGTCAACTTTAAACCAGAATTCATGATTAGTTACCTAAATTGTTATATAAAAGTGAACGAAGCAACGTTTGTTTAAATATGCAAGAATAAAAACCTAACGTTTCGCAAGCCATGTTGAGGTAGTTTAGCATTCCTTATCGCGCTTATTAAGCGCTCAAAGTCTAACTAAATACATTTCTATTTCCAGCACCTTGGAACAGACAGTACATTATTTTTGTGTTTTTTATTGTAACATTCCAAAGTGCATAACGCTCTTAATGCCGCAAGATTCCGGACGGGAACGCGTTGTTGAAAATCTTACAAAAACTAACACAGTACAGACTGGAGCCTATTGTTTTAAATTGAACATAGCTGATTCTCGAAATTTTGGGAAAAATTTTCTGGAATGTATTACTAGGAATCTAATTAAGTTGTGCGCCCTAAGCTTGAATGCCCCTAAAATCCAACGCAGAGAAGAAAAACCTTGTTCTTCTACGCGACTGTAAAGCGGCAATTAATGTCGAACTTCGCATTGAAAGTTAAAATTTCAGTCTTATTGGAATCCTAAAAGATCTGCTCCATGTAACCTCGTAATACTTACTTATACACAAAGCCGTTACACTGTACACTTATACACAAGCAATCTCGGAATACTTAACAGCATACCACTAGAATAATTTCCAACATAAAATTAAGACGACTTTCCCTTAAAATGCAAAAATTTTTAAATTACGGAAATTTGAAATCCACAGTCGACCTTGACAAAAGTATGCCACGTGTTTTGTAGAGCGATTTCAATATCGTAGTTACTCTTGTCTTTTTCGATATAAGAACATCTGTCAGACATGATCTACGTAATAATATGAAAAATATATGCGTGCAGACGACGATACAAGAAACTGTGTTCCTTTATCGTAATGCTTCTCTTCGAAGTACGCCTTTCCATTCTCCATAGTCATTAAAGAAGAGAAATTCGCCTGAGCTGATGTAGTCCAGATAAATACAGTTAACTTTCTTATTTAAGCAAGTATTTTAATTCTATAATAATTTTCGACATAAACAAAAATAATACCATTTTACGCGGGCAAGACCGACTATTAAATCCTCTGCATCGTTACGTCTAACACAGTTCTTCATTTGTATTCGTGGCAATATATCAAAAATTATCTCTCATTTCTATGCAAAGTAGACCATGACATATAAGAGAGCGCAAAAGTGAGCCGACTTGGTCTGAGGTATTTAGAAAAATACCTTTGTTTTCAAAAAGTTCTTAATCCTCTTCACTTATTTTCGTTATAAAATGCTAAAAATTAAGTCTTGTTGTCTTACAAAAATATCCTTTTTACCTTATATTGGACGCAGAGATTAACCTACGAAGTCCGAATTTGATACAGTTGATACAATGCCAAATTCCATCATTTAACATTAAAAATAAAATCTCGCTGTCATATGAAAGCCCATTGTTCATAGGAACGGTTAGCAAATTGGGTTTAATAAAATTCTCCCGCCCGATTAAAATTTTCAATATCGAAATACTCAGCGACTCAATGATCTTTGTTGAGAATTCTGAATCTATCGAAAGTATAATTTTTCAAGGAAATAAATGAAGAATTGAAGGATATTCAATGGTCGACCTGTTTTGCTACTTATTTCTTAAATTCCATCTTCCGATGGTTTGCAATCAAGACTTGACGAACGAGAAGAGCGCAAGCCCAAATTTCTTTTAGAAACCTTTTCTCTCTCGTTTACTGCCGTATGAACGTTTCACGATCAATAAAAAATTCTCTCTAATAATATGACCATAGCCTTCTTACCCACATGAATGCGTTCGCGGGTAGAATAACAAGTCTCTAATAACAGATCAAGCGTTTACTGTACTTCAGACTTTCAATGTAGTGCGGCCTTATAACACTTACGAAATTTGATAATGATCTTGCTACCCATGCACACACACACACACACACACACATGTTCAGCTTTTGAAAGCTGGATATAAATAAATAATTATTTTATCATTTTTGTATAGTTTCCTCTTTCGCGTTTCATATATTTAGAAAGAGAGAGAGAGAGAGAAAAAAAAAGAAGCAATTTTTTCAACAAATTTTTTTGTGCACAAAATGTTTACGTGTTAGTGCATAACATTTGGATGAATTAATGGACGTTTGCATGCTTTGTACAAAACATTGTATTTTATTTTGCAAGTTCAAGGATAACTGCTCAGTCTCTGTCCGCATGCATAATATTATTTTATTTGTCGATAAATTTTCTCGATGCAAATGTATGCGTGCGACCATGACTTTGACTCACACCAAATGAAATAAAATTGCATTTGAGATATCGTACACGTATGAGTGCACGAACATTCGCGCAGACGGCACTTTTTCTGTACATTTGCCGTTGTCTGCTTATTTAACAAAATATTTTAAAGGCGTTTTTCATTTGTTGTTAATATTAATTTTGTCTGCAGGTGAACAAATTTCTTTCTCTTCGTATTCGTATGATGTTAGGCTTTTTCTTTGGCCTTAAAAGATGTGAAGGTCATAAAAAAACCTACAACAATTTATTTTTAGAAATAAAAACCTACTAAAAAACAAAAAAAACAAAATCTCTAATTCTTTGACAAAATGTAAAGCAACAAGAACACGAAGAAGAAGAAGAGAATAAGACAAACAGCAAATAAGTTATGTTCGAGAATAAAAGTCATTGGAAGGCAAGAAATCAACACAAAATTCATTAAGTTGGTCAGTATTTTTAAAAATATGAATAATTTATAAGTTACTCAAATGAAAAATGTGAATAAATATATAAAATATAATTTAAAAAATTTGGAATTTTTATATCATAAAAAAATAGAAAGAAATAATATACATTCTTCGTATCGAAAATTACATTTCATAAAATAACCTTTAAAATTACTTATTAGAAGGAAAATAATATGTATATATATATATATGTATGTATGTATACGCATATAGGCAATCAAATTACTTTATATTCTATTTGGCCCTAAAAGAAGCGTTCATACAGTGTTATACCGGTTTGTAGTCTCGTGTGTATATATGTGTTTGAGTTATTCCGTTTTCGGGAGGAGACAACCCCTACCAAACAATTCCAAGAAAAGGTACCAAGCAATCAAAAGAAAAATCTAGAGAAAGGAAGTGTCAGAAATTTCCAAAATGTATAAAATTTTATGCAAAAATAATAAATTATAACATTCAACCTATCGGTTATATAATATACTGAAAAATATTTATATCAAATGCGCTCTGGGAAAATTTTATGCAAAATGACTATAGGAAATATTTTCATCAAATTTCAGATCAGCATCAGCAACATTGAAATTTTAATTTCTATTTGTTTATAAAATTGATTACAAAAATTTTAACCATTAGTCATATGAAAATTTCAAGGTCACAACCTATAGTTATCACCAAAGAATAAATAAGGAGCGATATAAACTTATTTTGCTAACAATTCATATACAATAACATTCTTGGTTGTTTATTATTTCTAATTCTATCCTATTATTATTTCTATTCTACTATTTTCTCTTGCAAATTGAAAGTAGGACTCCTTTTAAGAAGTTTCTTCCGCCCACCTTAATTCTTGTCCATTTGAAAGTTGCAGCGATAAACAGCAAATCTCGGAATAAAGAGATCGACATAGCTCTATATATGTAAATATTAAAATTTTCACATATTTCAGTTATGCGTACTTAACTTAAGAGAATAATTATATCTGACATATTTGTTCCACAGCAAATTTTTTGATTATTACTCATCAATTTAAAGTAGATCAGTAGTATATATAACAAAGTTTGCTATTAAGTAATAGCGAAACAAAGTCTATCAATCCGCCTGAGTAGCCGAGTAGATACGAATTGCGACCACGATGTCAATATTCGCCGGTTCAAATCTCAAGCGGAGTAGACTTTTCTTTCATGGGAATTAGTATAGTGAGCGCTCAGTCGTTGAAGGCATAAAATTTATCTTATCGGAGGCTACCTTCCTATTTCGTTCACTTTCCTGTCTTTTTTCTGGCACTGTCCCATGGTTGGATGGATTACAACACTTCGTTTACTTCAATCCTCCTAGACAATCACAGTGTTCACATGCAGAAGGAACGTTCTCTGAGTGACTGATAATATAGGAAAACTTAAAAAGATTATCCCTAGTTACGTGCCTGTGAAGGCACGGCTTAGTTAGTAAAAAAAAAAAAAAAGCGTCTGAACTCATTTGAAAACTTATGCATTTTGGAAAAGGCATTTCAAATATATTCTTAAGATTCTACCCACTGCTCAGCGACTACAAGCATGAACAATGTTGAAAACTCGCTTTAGACATTCTGACCAATATTATATTTAAAATAATCATTGCAGATAACTTTTTGAACTTGCGCAACGCGATTAAAATTTTTTTATACGTTTTGTTCAGAGTTGTGAAGGCTCCATTTATTCGTTTATTCATTACCTCCACTATTTTTATGTCAAAAGCTGCGAAAGAAACGTTTTTCGGATTTAATCTCATTTAATCTGTTCTTCATTCATTAAATTTATCCAACCCTTACCAATCAAGGCTTACTTACTTATCAAGAAAGAACCTTAAAAGAACCTGAAACAAGAAGAAGCTATGCATATGGAATATGTATTAATGAAGTCTTTATGAAGTTATGATCGTTGCCCGAATATCATAAACTTGCTATCCAATTTATCCAACCCTAACTATAGTCAAAGAAGTAGTTGAAAAATTAAAACAACCTGAAATAAGAGGAAGGCTGTATATACAGAATATGCATCAATCACTTCTCCCATTAGGAAATTTTTATAATCATTATTTTATTTATATTTTTGGTTATGCTTGCTATCCTTATGAATACATGAAAATGGAAATCATACGATGTGTAAAGCATCATTTTTAGAAAGTGCATAGTAACATGTAAACAATTTTGCTTATTCGTAAAAACACGCACATATATGCATTTCGTCGTCAATCTTAACATAATATATACGAGAATTTTAATAAGTAACGTTTTGAGATCAATTGCAAAACAGATCGTAATCCCAGAAAACTATTGGTTTTTTGAATTTTTTTCATTCAAGATTGATTTTCAAAGTTGCCTCGGAAGCATTTAAAGCCACATTCAACACTTCAAACGTGATTAAAGGGTCCTATATAATCTATAAAAACATCGGTTTATGTTTAATAATCGTTTTCAGCCCCATTGGTTTTTGAACTTGATTTCATGAAAAAGGAGAACACATTTAAACACCAATTAATTGTAAAATTCCAAAACATAGACCGACAGACGCTTAAGCTTAAATCGATCCTGTTATTGCGGTTAAAAACTCATATGCTTACTGTTTATGCTTTAGCAAGATTTTGCAAATCTAATATGGCCCCTAAGTAAAAGCTTACAATCAATTAATATAGATATCGTAAGTAGTTAATAAAAGAGACTGTTTTGTATTTTCTATGCCTTGGTAAAGTAATGGTATCCAAAATTTACCCTAAGGCAAAATAGCTTTCTTATTTGTTCTCTGCTTCATGTTGATTCTTTTGGTTACTTGGTCCGTTTGCATAAGTAAGATATATATATATATATATATATATAAGCGAACTCTTTCTTTTCTTTACGCTATAAATATAAAATTTCAGCACCACGTTGTTTTTGTTATCGCTGTACGCAAAAAAGAAAAAAAAATGACACAAGCTTGAGTGTTGGCGTTGTATTTTTGGCTGTTCATTGACCCTCATATATATATGTACGATTGAATGAGGTCTTCGTCTGTCTGCATTATGATTATCTCTTATTTCGTTATTTTCAGTTTCAAGCAGAGATAGAGTCATGAGCACAAAAAACTGCTGCTATAATGATTATTGTGCTTTTCTTTTTAATTTTATTTTAAACAAATTTTCTAGTAAGTAAGGGGGCAGGTGTAGCTCAGTTGCAAAATTTTTATACACTCCTTAACGATACACGACGTACAAATTTGATATAATAAACTGCGAAATCTGCCTCAGAGCACCTCTTTGAATTAATTAATAATAATAACGAAAAAAAGAAAAAGAAAAATGCGTTAGACCATATCTTAATAGCGGTTGATGTGGGAGTGCAACTATAGTCAATGCTTGTTTGATAAAGGCAAAACTCTTGTCTCAACTCCCCTTACCCCCGCTCCATTCACCCTGACAAGCATCGCATTTGTACATATACAGGGTCAAAGTGTTTATAAAAATTCAGCAAACACACACAGAATATCGATTTGAAAATTGATATACTCACTAACGAAGAAGAATATCTTTCCGTTATAATAGATTTACCTTACTCTGTGAGGTCTGCCTTAATGACCCAATATTTTTATATGTATTCTCGTAAAGTGATCAGAATTTTTTACCAGAAAAAAGATATCCACGAAAGGTAAAAATTTTTACTGCTGCTTCTCCTTCTGCTCCTAATTTCGGGAGCCGGCAATGTTAATAACCCATCAAAAACCTTGTATACAATTCATTTAATGAAAACATTTGCGACAGCCAGAAGAAAGTTTCAGAAACGCTATAAAGTGTATGTACTCTTAATCAATATCGAATCAATTTTTAAGTGCATGGCCGAAGTGCTTGCACACAAATTGAAATTGGAAGACAGACCTGCAACATGACGTAAACTTCGAACCGAAAGAGGCTCATTGGCCGTCGTTCTTTATTCATAAACTTGAAAAGATGCAACGATAAAAATTTGCATGAATAATGTGTGAGTGGTCCTAAAGTGCAAAGATCGGCTATGCGCACTCACTTTTCTTGAGTATCGGATTTTTTTTAATGATGTTTTTTCAAGATAAGGATGTTAGTATAAAAAATTTATAGGAATTTTATAATTTCAAAAAAATGCCAATTTTTCAACACATTCGATTCTCATCGGACCGGCTGTGAGTGTCTTTCGGAAAAAAGACCGCTTTAATACTAGATTTACACGCAACCGTTCCTTTGTCAAGAGTTGTGAGAAAGTATATATTTTCAGACCTTTCTAGTGATTTTATGCAGCAAATATATATGTCTAACCTTTTGCCCACTCTGCTATTTCTAGATGTGGTCTAGGTATTTTAACTAAAACTGTCAATTTGATGAGTGAGAGTTTTATGAATTGTCATAGTCGCAAAAATAAAGATAAGAAGCTTTCATTTGACCTTGATCGATTGCGAATATATGACTAAAAAATAGGAGCGCTCAGCTCAATTTTAAACAACTTTGAAAAACAACAACAATTTTTTTCAAATATAAACATTTTTGCCTATAATTTTCGCTGCCAGAACTGCCTGCATGATCGGTCTAAAAATGATCTTGGTCGGTTTATCAGTACGTTCGCGATTAACCATAAAATTTTAATAGATACATACATATATTATATAGAAAATGTCGATAAATCTAGCGTTAATGAACCCGATCCCAATACTTGCAGTAAAATTTTCCATAATATTTTATTCAATTGCGCAATTCAACCCGAGCAAACATACATCGATTTAATTTGACTAGTTGAAGCGGTTGTTTTTATTTTACTATAATAAAGTCTAAATCTAAGATGAATTTTAGCTTTGTTTAAATGATAAAAATAATTTTTAGTTATTAAATTTACGATAATATAATTAAATTTTCTAATAATTATTTAATCACTAGATGTTCTCGGGAACAGAAAATTCTATGAATTTTTAAAAGAAACGAGAATTAAACAAACCATATTAAAAAGTATT